TTCACCATTTCTAACCACGAATACACTCAAATAGGCATAACACATGGGCGCGAAACTACAACACTGGTACATGATTCTCTGAGGTTTCTATTAATTATATAACTAGGATCAATACATATGAAATATATAATTCTTATAATTTTTATACTGTATTGATATCCACCATGTCTAAAGTGTATTGAATTTTTAAATTGTCGTTATTGAAATAATTTTAAATAATATTTAAATATAAATTAATTTAAAATAATTTGTTTATGATGTGTCGATTTCTAACATATTTTTTTTATCTTTATAAAAATATTGTGCAAATTATGTTGGATTATTAATATTGTTGTTATTATTATTATTATAACTTTACGATCTAAATTTAATATACTTTTTTTTAAATAAAGTGGTTCACATATATCTATTGTTACACAAAATAGTTTAGATAACTGTTTTCGCTTGATGGAAGTGAAAATATCGATTTTTCAGAAACTATTTGTTTTAATTTTTTATTAAAACAAAAACTCATATAGGGATATATGATCCATCTCATAAAGTTCAATAATATATTTGATACTTCTCACAATTGATTTTTTTTTACTTTTTTATTTTAAACGCTTAATTTCAGTCTTAAATATCTTATTTGTGGATTTATTTGCTTATCATTATCTGAATATTTTATTTTTATTTAATTTCTTATTTTGAAAAGGATGAAAAATAAAAAGAAAGAGTGAGATTGGAATAAAAGAGAGAAAAGAAAAAAACTAAAATTATTTTCTTTTGTGATCATATTTGTAATTTTTTTGTAGTTGTGAAAAGATCGACACATCTATGATAGACTTTACAAGAAGATGAGTTTGAGTTAAAATTATTTTGAATTTAATTTTATGAGTAAGTTTATTGTTTAATGTAAATTTTATATTTTATATTCTAAATTTTAAATTTTGTATTCTTTATAGATTTTTTATCAGAAAATTAAGGAAGAAAAAAAAAACTACATATGTATTGGCCTTTGACCATTTCACAATATTTCTAAAAGAAATTAAAAGCCATGTATGTATGGAAGTTAGAGAAATTTAAAATTTAGTCAATTTACTATGTATTGGAAAACTTTCTCATTTATTGAAGCATAATTAATGAATAAATTAATAAGAAAAATATAAATTTGACAAAGAAGGGTATAGTTATCAAAAAAAAAAAATCAGTTTATAGTGTGAACATATATTTGGACCATTATGGTCAAATTATGGCCAAATTTTTTGGCTAAAAAGATTTTTCCATTGTTAGTTAAATGGAGAATTTAAGAAGAATATGAAGAGGCATAACAATCAATAATGATAGGTAATTATTGTCTATTTATTTTTCAGCAAATTTAACCCAAGAAAATAAATGATAAATAGCTACAATCACTTTTTTTTCACATCACAACCAATGATGAGTATCTTTCAAGCATCCTACTTGCTACTACTTTTGAATGCTTGAATTTTGAGTCTTACAATTTGGTAATTGATGGAGTATTATTTATATGATTTTTTTATTATATGTTATTTGTATGATTATGAAAGAGAAGTGATTGATTTTCTTTATTGTTTTTTTTTCTTTTTCTAACATCAGGTGTTTGACAGAATAAAATATCAACTATTGACATTTGGTAAACGTTTTCCTTTTTTTTCTTAGTGATTTCTTGACTATATGTTTAGCCTTACAATTTGATAATTTGTTGAGTATTATTTATATGATTTTTTTAACTATATGTTATTTGGATGATTATGAAATAGAAGTGATTTGTTTTCTTGATTGTTCGTTTTTTCTTCTTCTAACATCAGGTGTTTGACAGAATAAGATATCAACTATTGACATTTGATAAACTGTTTTCTCTTTTTCTTAGTGATTTCTTGACTATATGTATAGTTGCATAATTTTGAAATAGAGGTGATTGATTTTCTTGATTGTTCTTTTTTTTTCTCTATTAACATCAGGTTTGACAAAGTAAGAGAATCGATATTTCGTGAAAGTTTTCCTCTTCTTTTTATTTGTCTTTTCGTCCGTTTTGAGAGTAAAAAATTGTGTTAGAGAAAAAGAATGAAATAAAAATTAAAATAGTCATAAAAGCAAAATCAACTGAAATATTTTTGTCAAATTTATGTTGAAACACAATTTTTGACATTGTCCTTTTGAAAAACAATATTAGTGGCAATTAGAATTTTTAGTTGTGAATTTTATTGTTTTGAAAAATTGCGAATCTAACGAAGACTGAAGTTATTTGTCAAGCGAAATCAATTGAGAGAAGTATGTATTGTTTACCTTATTTTCTTTTCTATTAGTATGTCTTTTTTTTAATTTAAATTATTCAATCATTCATTTCATGTCATTCAATTCTTAATTTATCAATTTCATATATGTTTATGTTTAATTATGAAATATGGTACCAAAAATATTCTTGTAATTAAGATAGTGGTTAATTAGCTGTAAAAATGCAAAAATGATATTAACTGTGATTAACTATAACATTTAATTTGACAAGGTTTGCACAAAAATAAAATATTGCATAATTTAGATAAATAAAAATATATTATTTAGCCTGTTATTTATATGAATTTTTTTTAAATATTTTGTAATCAAATTTATATAAGGATTCATTTTCAATTATATTTTTAATATACGATGCTCTTCATTTTGTTTTGTTTTTTCCTTTCATTTCCTTCATTTTAATAAAAATGTCTAAGGTGAGTTGTCTAATAATTTTTTTGTTGATATTGTTTATTCTATTCATCCCATATTAGTTGTCACATTTCTCTTTTACAAATTCTTTAAGAATCATAAACAAGAAGAATTTCGTTTTTCTGAACAATTAATTTTAAGGGCAAAATGAAAAATAAATTAATTTCAATTTAATTTTGCTAATAAATATTTTGGGACAATCATTTTAATAATGTTGATAACTAATAAAAATAGATAGAGCATTTTTCTTCCTTTTATTTGGTTCTTTCAACATATTTTAAAAACTCAAATAGTACTCTTTAATAAATTTCTTTAAATATATATAGCTTAATTAGAAACACAAAAATTATTACAAATCAAGAAAAAGAAAGGTGTTACTAATTAAGAGTGCATTAACTATTGCAACCATAAATTTTCTATTTATTTTATTTAAATGTTAGAAGTGTTTAAATTTATATTATTCCCATATTTCCTGTCCTCAGTGTTTTCAATAAGTTAATTTGGGCTTAGATGGTGTTTCAAGGAACTCAATTAGACATGTCAAAGATAATTTTTTATGTATTTATAAATGTTTGTCATTTAGTTTTATTCTAGTAGACATTCATCTTATAATTATGTCATTTTCCTAAAATTTAATTGTGAATCAAGTCTTTTATATTTATTTATTTTTGTCCTCCCATTATCTTGGAAAGATTGTGCCTTTCTTTTTAAAATGATGTCCGATAAAAAAAAAAAATACTCATTTCATGTTTGACGTCGTTATATTCATATAACTAAAATGGTTAACAAATAACTAAATAATAAAAACATCAAAGTGTAAAGGTGAAGATTATTATTAAAATAATCGATACTTAAATTATTTATCATTTGATATATGTATGAGTTATTACTAGCAAACAACAAGGTCTTGATCTCAAATTATAATTTATATTAATACAAAATTATATTTTGAAATTTAAAAATAAAATAAAATTTTGAAGTAAAAAGTAAAAAGTTGATCATTATTTTTAAAAAGTCGTTATTGAGGACCGCGTGAAGCGCGGCCAAATTCACTAGTTATACAAGAAAGATAAATCATGCTAAGCAAGTATGTGGGACGAGCAATATTCTAAAGTAATTAAGCAAAATATTAATTTAAGTAAAAAATAAATAAGTTAGTCAGGCCACTATTACTTTAAAAAATAAAGTTAACTAATTAAAGAGTCATTTTCCCTCTTGTTTTCTTGTGTGATGTATCTTTGTTCTAGAGCACTGCTAGTTATGTTTATGTTGCTCGTGGTAGTGCATTTATTTCTTGTTGATTTTTAATGAAAATCAAGCTTTCTTTTTTACAAAAGGTATAAATATATAGTGAAAAACTAACAAATTTTGAACTCTTAATTTTATACTTGCAATGGATTTGGTACTAAGGATTTTAAAGTTTCAACCCATCAAGTTTAAATTCAGAATCTACTTATGATCAAATGTGAAATTTATCGAGTTAACTATTAAAGTGTGAGGTAGCTCATGTCCTCCTCAATTGAATGTGTTGGGTTTGCTCGACAGTGCACACTTGTTGGGCCCATGTAGTTGTTTGTAACATTTGTTTTGTTATCTTGTTAGTTGGCTCCTTGAGACATCTTATATTATTGTTAGAAGACATAATATTAGGACAAGGGAGGATCTATAGGGATACTCTTGGTTTATAGTAACTTGTATAACTAAAAGCATTATCATCTTCATATATATGTTGAAGTATGAAAGTTTGGAATAGGAGAGCACTCATTTCAAAATGGTCTTATAGCTTAGATGCCTTTTCATTTGTTACGGATACGATAATTGAAATTATAGGTGCATCCTTCCCGGTCCTCTTGTACTAGGGAAAGACCTCTCAATGTTCTAAAGCCTAATTAACTTGATATGGATTAAACTGTCTCACAATATCTTAAATTCAACTCATGTACGCTTTAATGAGCGAACAATCCAACCCTTGAAAACATTAATACAACCTCACATGGCCAAACGGGATCGGCATGAGCTCTTAGGAAAGATCAGCCCGTTATCACTAGAGTATTCTTAGAGGACTCAATTTTGACAAATTAAAAACACGACTTGAATATTTGAGAATCATATTTGTCTTTAAAGAGACACGGAGAACTTCCATGTCAACCAAAACCTTATAAAAATCTTTAAAAGAAGGGAAAAAAAACTCTATAGGGTATACAACAGATATGAGATAAAATACATACTTTACATTAAACTAGCAAGCTAGAGACTACATACAACTAACTTGCAAGAATTTAACAAATAGTAATTTAGTACTTCTCTTTGTTGGTTCTCAAAAAGAAATTATCCCACTCATGCTTTTCTAATGTCCCAAAAGTATGATACTTCCAGCTATATTCTTCATCAAACACCATACTTGAATTCTTGCCTTGTCTCATCTCTTTTCTTATTACATCCACTCTTCCAAGAACCCCTTTCACTGCCAAATCAAATGCATCTTTAACTGTCTCCAATCTTGATCTTGGATCTGCATAAACTACATTTGGTATAAGCTTTATCACTTCCTCTCTCATTGCTGCTACTTGTGATTTTGGTATTTTAGATAGTACATTTTCAATGCTCACTTTCTTTTTCCTAACATCATCTTCCGGAATAAGCACCGAGTATTTGGTGTAATCTTTTGGTAAGTGCCATATATATTGGACATACGCGGATCCAGGAGTGAAAAACACTGGGATACAACCAGCCAAAATTGAATCGAAAGTAGACCTCCTAGTGAACGAATCCCCTGAGGGTTGTAAGCAAAAGATTGAACTTTGAAACAACCTCATTACATGTACAGGCTTGGTGCATTTGTTGTGTAAGTCCTTACACTCCAATAGCTTGCATTTTCGCCTCGTGGCTGAGCATTGTTCCATGATTTCACTTCTTATTGAGTCCTCAAGTTGAGGACGTGGAGCACCCGCGAATGAAAACAACACCTTCCTCCTTAACCTCCCCATCCTGTTCTGCCACTGGACTACATCACTGTCACTTGAAGGATGGAAATACGTTGGATATGGAATGGCGACATCATTCCTGTTCCAAGGACTCGATTCGATTGTTAAGATTGTCATGTTCTGTGCCTCAGGTAACAACATTAACTTGTTCCCCCAAGCTGCATCTTCCTCAATACCTCTCCTAAAATCCCAAGTAATTCTACCAGCAATCATGAAATGATCTCTTCCCCACATTGTCTCCCATTCGGGTTTTTCTCTAAGAAATTTCGCGACCTCAATTGCACTTGCATCCCTTATTGATGTGTTGAAATCATCCCATAAGTATCTAGCAACATCGAACCCTGAATAGTATGGCACGAAAACTGCTGATGCTTCAGATGAATCATTCGTTAGACAATCGTACTGTTTCATTCTGTTATGAAACAGGACTTCTAACGAAAATTGATTTGTAGTATACCAACCTTTGTTCGAAAAAATCCTTTGTGGGTTTCCAAGATCAGGACCAAGCCCCATATTCACCAAATATTGACACATATCTTCCCATTTATTCAACAATTTACATTCCTTCAACATAATTTCATTGAACTTACTAGGTATTTCTGCAACATATATATGTCGTCCTGCACATTTTCCTCCCCTGTTATCATCCTTTTTTTCGATTTTTTTCTCAAACTTCTTTTCTTCTTTTGGAGGTTCGATTTTTCTTAAAAAAAGTTCCAATTCTTTCTGGAGTTCCTCCAAATCAGGTACCACCGCATTATCATTTTCATTAGACAACGATTCTTCCTCCTTGGATCGTGTCTCGTTGGTGGCATTATCATCACTTGTAGAATTGAAATTGGAGCTAACATCAACATGAGGTGGAGGCAGAGGAATAGAAGTTGGACGAAAGGATTCAATTGAATTCACTTCGTATTGTGACGTTGTTACAATACCATGTAAAGAAGACCAATCAATTCCATAAAGCAATAAGTACCAAGAAACAAACAAAAAAAAGAAAACAAACCAAAATTTATTGCGAGACCTTGTTGTGAGGGAATTATCCATCTTCTTTACAAATGTTCTTGATCTAATAATCTGTTTTCTATTAAGCATAAAATAAAAGGTGTTTTCTGGCTTTGACCATGATGAAAAATAAAATAATATTTGATAATTTGGCAGATAACAAAGGGCGGTAAGATGCTATAAATATGCTTGTTCTGTTTGGATTGTTCATATGATTAGTTTAATCACTTAGTTTAATCACTGACTCAATTAATTTCGGACCACGTTTAAACATTAATATTTAATCATTTGACATAAAATATAATAAAGTACATATTAAAATTCAGATGTTATAATAATTGTCTCATATACGAGATTTTTAGAAATTTAATTCAGAAAAGTTGTGCATCATAGTAGCCCAATCTGACCACTTTTGAACATCTCTTTAAATTCTATCTTTGTTAGTTTATGAGTTAATAAATTTCACCTTTAAAAGAAATTTGATGAATTTTACGTTTAGTTTTGCAGAAAAAATTTAACCAACTGAATTAACAAGAGTATAATCATTTGTGCAATCTCAATTTTGAAAAGGTATGTATCGAGTATCGAATTAATATATGAAACTTTTGATTGAGATAAACCTTGGACAAACAAACCTATATATATGACGTTAATCATCCTATTAGTCTAATATGATATTAGGCTATATATTAATTTTTTAAGGATCTGCACACAGTTTATGTGCATTAAAATAATACTCTACTATTATTTATTTTTTGTACTTTGATGGGATCTAAATGGTAGTTTGGGCACATTGCACATGGTAAAGTTAAGATAGGCCGGCAAAAACAAATGAATATGAGTGTCCATCTAGTTCTAAATCTAATTTTCTCTAGAGTTAATTAATGGTACTTTAATTGTCGAAAACTAAGGTCTTGCATTTCTAGAGTACTAGCCTACTGGGTACTAATTATTAAATGTAAATCGTAATAACATAGCAAAGACAACCAAAAAAACACTATTTTTATCCTGTGAAATTAGATGTTTAATTTTGACTGAATCGCATTATTAAAATATCTTAGGAGTATTATTTTAACTTATTCAGGTGGAGATGTTTTATGTGATAATTATGATTGTGAATGACTAGCATTTGAAATTATATTTGTCTTACTTTTCATTTACTCTATTATATGTATATTCATGGAATAACAATAAAATAACCTCTATCCTAGTCTTCTCAACTTTAATTTTAATTTTAATTTTTAACTTAAAAGAGTAACAAGTATTTTTCACCTATATTGTTGTAAATAAAGTCAAAACTCGTACCTGTCTGCCAATCTATATATATATATAAAGCTGGATAAAATCACGCTGATGTGGCATGCTTCATTGATCAGTATACTATTTATTTAATTTTTTAGAATTTAGAATTTTTTTCCTCTCATTTTCTGTTCTATAACCTTTTAAAACAATTATTCACTTTCCTTATTATTAGCCTTTATTACATTTAACTCTTCCTTCAAAAAGGAAATATGTAACAGCTAAATACATAATGGTGCAATTAATGTGCATTATCACGCATTTTTCCTATTAAATCATTGCTTCAACCCACGTATTATCATTTTTTTTTTTCGTAATGCTTAATCACTTATAATTAATTAGACAATTCATTCCCCTATTTATGCATTCCTTCTTAGACATTTTCCTTGGGGATTTCATGTAAGTATTTTTTTCATATCTTCTTATACCTTTTTGGGGGGTTTCATGTAGTTTTTTTTTCTTCTCTTTCATCTTCTTCCTTTTATTTTATCCATCCTTGATTTTTATTTTTAATGTATATATGTTAACATCATTTTAAACAGGATAATTACTATGAAGATTTTTTATATGAAGAGCAGAAGAGGTAAGCCAATAGTTGATTTTATCAATTCTTGATTTTATTTTTAACGTATGTATATATGTTACCATCCTTTGAAAAGGATATTACTATGAAGCTTTTGATATAAGCCAAGAGTTTTTTATTTTTATTATTATTTTATCAATATCAATGTTATTTAATTTATAAAAAGATTTTGTTTTAGTTTTAGGAAGTTAAGTTCTAATTCTATTCATTATTCAATATGTCTCTCTCTCCCTAAATCTAAATTTGTATAGTATAATATTAAAGTTAAGTATAGTATAATATTAAAGTGATGTGGTATCTCTTTATGTTCATCAAATTTAATTATCTTTTTTTTATTTGAATCTATCTATATTATTATAATATAAAGGAGGATCTTCATCCTGATGTGGCATGTCTCAATGATCAGAAAATGTATTTATCTATTTTCTTAAGATTTAGACATTTTTCTCTATTTTTTACACAATTGTATTATTAATAATTTTTAATTAATGATCAATTATACCTTTCTATAGATAAAGAATTCCAAATGCTATCATTTTGGCGTTTTTAAATTATACTCATTTCATTTCCTATAATCAATATTTACTTCTCCATAATTAGTGTGCTTAATTATGGAAAAATGGTTACAGAATTTCATTAAAAGCTTAATATAGCCAAGCTGTTGTGGCACCTCTCAAAGACCACCATTTCTATTTATCTTTTTTCTCTTTTTTTAAATTATATTTTTAATTCATTTTTGTACCTAACTACTAATTAAATAGATTAAATGATTTATGACCTCTTAATTCATGATTAAAGAGTCAATAATGAAAGAACATTATTACGAACAAATTTCAAAACGTTTTAACTTGTTTAAAACCTTCACAAAAACATATCAATGTTAAAATTAAGGAAATCGTTACCATTAATAATATAAAAAAAACTCTTCATTTTTATTTTTCAATAAGTTTTTTTAGTTATAACATAATTTTGCATTATTTAATTATAGAAGTTGAAAGGTTTCTGCACCATTAAAATGAGAAGACAACTATATAAACAAAATATATTGACCATCTCAATTTTTTCATGAATCAATATGAACTTTATGCAGTATAAATCTACAAAAGTAGGTAGAATAGAAAGAATGCGTCCAAGAAAAAAGACCATAGAGATTCAAGTTTATTTTGTAATCTCAATGCATGAACATTACTACTACCTTGCGTTCTTGTAGTAATGTTGGATCATCATAACTCTTCCTTGATCACCTTTCAAGATACAAAACATCATTCACGTGATATAAGAAAAGGAAGGCTACTGCTAAGCATTTGAAATTTGACTGACATCCGAGAGTAAAACAAGAAGCAGGAATTGAAATTTTTGTAGAAGTTTTAATCTAAATCTACAATTAGTTTTGATAGGTATATTTTTCAACCCAAACTCTTATATGAATATTGTTGTTTATCTTTTTTTTTTGTCATCTTTTTCTTCTATTTTTTCATTGAAACACTTTGAATTTGTATGACAAAAAAAGTAACAATATTTCAAGAAAGAATTGACATTGAGGGATTTTGCTTAATATTAGGAAGAGACAAAGAAGAAAATATATAAAAGTATTAGCAGGAGAGAAAGAAAAATGAAAACAAATAAAGAGGGATAAGAAAAATAAAGATGTCAAGAAAAAGAAGAAAAAGAAAAGGTTCTATATATATAATATTGTCAAATTAAATTTTAATATACATAGAATGATTCATTTATTTTGTTTCCATATATAAGTCTTAGTATGTTTCATATATATAATATACCAAATTAAATTTAAATACAAAGAATGATTCATGTATTTTGTTCCATATTTAAGTCTTAGTATGTTCCATATATATAATATTGTCAAATTAAAATTTAATATACAGAAAATGATTCATTTATTTTATTCTATATATAAGTTTTAGTATATTCCATATATAGTCTCCTTAATTTATAGAGAATAATAATAAATCTATCTATATATAAAAGGAGAGGAAAAAACGACACGTGTCAGCACCACAATTATTCTTGAATTTTATTATTTTTAGTTATTTTAAATAATAAATTCAAATTCAATAACTTAATTGTCTTTAGTTAATTTAAATAACAAATTCCATTTTAAAACAAAATAACAATTTAAATTTTGATCATAAAGAAAGTCACAATATCTAAAGATCTCATATTATTAATATAATATTTTAATTTGTTAGTTTGCTTTTTTCCTTATTATCATATTATTCAGATTTTTTTGGTTAAAAATATGTATAATTTTTATTTTTTGTAGTGCTTGAATTTTGGATATTAAAGGCAATGATAGCAATGACAATAAATTAGATTTAAAAATGTCATAACAGAAAATTAAATAAAAAGGTAAAACAATTAATTAACAAAAGAAGACGAAGAAGAAGAAGAAGAAGAAAACATTAATTAATAATTAATAATAAAAGAATAGTTAAAGATAATTTAAATAATAAATTCCATTTTAAAACAAAAAAACAAGTTAACGGTTACCATTAAAAAAATTGAAACAACTTATTGTAAAAAAAAGATAAATTAAACGGTGGATTAGTTGAAATGGGGTAGTTTTTTTCCCTTTCTTTGTAACTTTTTTTTTAAAAATTCTATCCATATAATATGTCTTATTATTATTAAAAGAAAGAAAAGACTTCCAATTCAAAAAAAGGAGGAGGATATCACGTCCTTTAAAGAAGAAATCTCAAAATTAGCCAAAAAAATATCTAAATAATTAATTTCAAATTTAAATTTCAAATAATAACTAACCTTATCCCTAAAAAAATCTCAACTTTCTAACCCACACCTTTGAAGAAAATTATTAATCTTAATAACATGATTCACATCTTTTTAAATCAAACTCTTCATAAACGAATCCAAACATCTGTAAAACAAATATTACATTCAAACAAAAAACAAATTACATTCACGTGAGATCATAAAAGAAAATGAGGTAAAGTATAGTAGTGTATTGTGTGTATATGTGTCATTTTTCTTAATTGTTTGATTTGAAATTATGTTGTTATAATTGACGGAGAAGGACCACCATGCTCTCCAATGCAACAAAGAAGAAGAAAAAATCGATGCTAGATAAATGCAAGAATTCTAAAGAATTTCATATCAATGGATCATGTATGTCAATCACTAATTAAATTTGGTTGACGTTCCTTACTTATGTTGTTTTCATATTCTTTTAACGATTTCAATAAGTGTTTTATTTTGTAAGAATAAAATCAAAATATATGAAAATGATGATGAATATATATCATCATAATTATCATATTCTTCGTTCACAAATTACATTTTTGTTAATTTATATGCAAAGTAGTATTCCTTAGCGTGATCATTTTGATTATAAGTATGATCATTTGACAATTGATTATTCTTTAGTTAAATCATTTTGAG